TTCCCCACCTGCCTGTATTTTGCTGGTGGGTATTTCGAGTTTCCCTGATCCCTTGGTTTTGAACTTGTTGCCTTGGCTGTAGGTTTAATGTTGGAACACGCTTTTTCAACATCTTTGGCTTCTTTGACATTTTCCGGAAATTTTTTTTCCGTACAGCCACTCGTCAGCTTTGGTAGCATCAATAGTTGGTCTAATTGATTTACTCATTAACGGGGTTATGTAAGCTCTACGAGCAACTGAATGTTGATAAAATGTGTCCGTTAATAACTTCCCTGCATCACATAAGTATTTCATTAACGCTTCCTGATCTATGCCATCTTCTGGATCCTCTAGGATCATTGAAACTGCTGCACCTAGCGCTGAGATTGCTGAGCCGATGCAATTTTGTGTTTCAGCAAAATGCGCATCTCTTTTAGTTGCAATTTCAGTCATGACTGGACTGATTTCTATGTTAATTTTTGGTGCTTCTGTATATAAATCGTCCTTTCGGGGATAAATTTCCAGAATATTCTTCTTGTTTTCTTCTGGATACCCTTCTCGCATCCACTTCTGCCAGCGGATTTTAAGTTCTTCATTAATTTTTATGGAAATTTCCTTTTTTGTATTAGGATGTTCCCCTAGCGTCTCAAGAAAAACCTCATTCATAGGTGGGATATCATCCGTAATCTGTGTAATTTCTTCTGTCTCAGGAATCTCAGCTGATGTTATTTCAATCTGATCTATATTTGCCTGAGAAGTATTCGGAGCATCAACGTTCTCTTTATTGTTCCTTAATTTGGCTGAAAACAGGAATTTTTTAAGTAGCTTTTAATTCACAATACTCTTAACAGTATACAATTGTATACTGTTTGTCTTATGGACTATTTGTCTTATAGACTGTTTGTCTTATAACTGTTTGTCTTATTGACTGTTTGTCGTATGGATTGTTTGTCTTATTGACTGTTCGTCTTATTGACTGTTTGTCTTATTGACTCTTTGTCTTATTGACTGTTTGTCGTATGGACTTGGTGTCGTATAGACAATGTACACACATGTATGCACTTACATATGTAAGTATATAATGTGTAGACAAAATACACTTGTATTTTAATACACTAATTTCGTATGGAAATTAATGACCACTGTGTTATTATATTTGCTTACCTGGAGTCTCTTGTATTATTTGCGCGAGCGACTTAGTGCGGTTATACACCTGTTTTTCGATGTTTTGGAGTCTATCTTCAGTCCTTTGCTTCTTTCTTGCCCTTTTCTCCTGCCATTATTTTTCTCTTAAATCTGTTTTAATTATACTTAAAAACTCAGCACGTGTGAAAAATTATACACAACAAAACAATATGACTATAGGAGGCGCCACGGACGAATAAGAGACAGCAGAGGAGGTAAATTTGAAACTTAAACTCTAAAAAGTGTGAAATCTTAGCAATGACAAGCATTACTACAATTTATCATCGAGAACGAGACGTGTAGTATAATTACACTCTGCTCGGTTTTACGTGGGATGCCATGCTGAACCATACAAAAGTTAATTTCGAATTCAGATATCGACATGGTCCTGTTTATCGAACGTGGTATACGCGGCGGATTAAGTCAATGTTCAGGTAGATACGCAAAAGCCAATAATAAGTACATGCAGTCATACGATCCATCGAAAGCATCGTCGTACTTGATGTATTTTGATGTGAATAATCTGTATGGGTGGGCAATGTGTCAACCATTGCCATATGCAGAATTTCGGTGGGTCGACAACGTCGCAAACTTTGACGTGTCTTCGATTGCTGCCGATTCGCCCACGGGTTATATTCTAGAGGTTGATCTAGAATATCCGCAACGTTTACACGACATTCACGCTCTATACGATAACCAGCGCTACGTTATTCACTATCGTAACCTGCAGCAATGCACACGACATGGTATTCGTACTACAAGGATACACCGCATCCTCCAATTCGCACAATCACCCTGGCTCCGCGATAACATCGAATTAAATACAAAGTTTAGAACTCTCGCTACAAACGATTTTGAAAAGAATGTGTATAAATTGATGAACAATGCGGTATATGTCAAAACTATAGAGAATGTACGCAATCACGTCGATAAAAAATTAGTCACAAAATAGGAAGGGAGATATGGTGCGGAGACAATGATCGCAAAACCAAATTTCCACAGCCGTAACGTGTTTTCGGAAAACTTAGTTGCCATCGAACTGCGAAAGCTTGTGCTGAAGTTCAACAAACCAATCTATGTGGGTATGTGTATACTAGATATATCTAAGGTTTGTTTGTATGAATTCCATCACGATTACATGTTACCCACACATGGCGATAAATGTAAAGTTATGTACACCGATACGGATAGTTTAATTTACCACATCGAGTGCGAGAATATTTATGATACTATAAAACGCGATATTAATCGATTTGATACCAGCGATTATCCGGTAGGGAACGTTTATGATATACCGCTTGTAAACAAAAAAGTCCCCGGTGTGATGAAAGACGAAAACGATGGGGCCATAATGACAGAATTTGTTGGACTCAGAGCGAAAATGTATGCACTGCGTGTAGATGGTAAAATAGATACGAAAAAGGCAAAAGGTGTAAAAACTAACGTTGTTTCCAGGATGATAACTTTCGACGACTACACGCAGTGCCTACGAAACGAAATTGAAATGATTCGTAATCAGACATGTATAAAATCAAAATTACACAAAGTATACTCAATGGCAGAATCAAAAATCGCTCTGAGTCCGTACGACGATAATCAGTATATCGTACCCGACTCAACGGATACATTGCCGTGGGGTCATTATAAAATACCGCTTTAGATATATCAGTATATGTATTTTGTAAATCATTTTTACCTCGATTTTAATAGATGTATATATTTAGTTGTAAATAAAAAACACTGTAATGTAACTAATGATGCCAGTACATGTATAAAACTGAATATTTAATTTAAAAAATGTTCAGTTTTTACAATACATTATCTTTATTTATCCATGAATTGTGTGCACAACTCAATCCTAACCATTTCACGTACACCTTATTCCCTTTCCGACGTAACACTTTTTCTACAAGGTATACATCAGCGTCGGCAACGCGTTGCAAATCGTGTTCGTAGAATCCTCCAGCAATTGGTTTTCCATAAACATCTTTCAGCAGATACGTTGCGGGATTAGTTTTCTGGACCTCGGCAATCGTAAATATTTCAGTACCCCAATTATGTGTGTAACCTTTTTCAAAAATTGTTTTGAATTTGCTCACACGTACCGCATCTCCCACTCTGAATCGTGCGAGAGCGGCAATCTTTACGTGATTATATACCGTTGTTAAGAGCTTCGAGGCGTTTGTTGGTGTAACGTCAATTGGTCGCATGCCGATAGTTCGATGTTTACGTGCGTTGTAATTTGATACGAGTTGCTGCAGCGAGTCGATCCATTTATAATTATATGATTAAACAAACTTACCTAAGTAAAGTTCTATCATAATTGTATGAAGCGCCTCTTTCGAGATGATCAACCTATAGTACCCCCACTTCAAAGCTAAAAATCAAAAAGGGGTCGGGCATCGCCTCCCATGTCTGCACGCCCGTCAAGCCTCATTATTTCAAAGCTACGCCGTAACAATTATATGGGTGTCAATGACGAAAGATTGACTTAGGGATTTATAGGGTGGGGTTGATCATCTCGAAAGAGGCGCTTCATACAATTATGATAGAACTTCACTTAGGTAAGATCGTTTAATCATATAATTGTATTACGCACCTGTTTCTCGAGATCAACCTGTAGATGTTCAACGCTTGTTACGGCGATAAAACGAAAGTAAAGTAAAAAAAAGCCTTTATAAACATTATTTTACTCAGAACTATTTTACATATAAAGAATAGAACATTTTTCTCTACTCCAAACACGACTATCTTTTTTAATCACTTAATATCGTGTTAGCAAAAGAATCAGTAGGATTCAATAACGGTAAATAATAAAATTTTACAAAAGTTTGCGAGTTGACAGTCCAACCCGCCGTTCGTCTTAAAGTATCTAAATCATGTCCCTTTCTCTTCGCCGCCGAAGTCGACGCGTGTCTCGTGGAATAAGCGGTGAAAATATTTGTGTCTAACCCGCTTTTACCTAGAACTTCTTTGATCCAACGGCTAAGTGATTGAGCTCCAACAGCCCCAAACGGTTTTTTAAATGATACGAACAGTGAACTTTCTGACCCTCGAATACTCGCGGTCCTCGCGATATAACACTCTAGAGCCGAAGCAATACAAACTTTGACGTTTGCTGAATAAAAAGGGAGCACCAATACGGGTTGATTCCTGTTTTTGCTTGATGCTTTTATATGTGCAGGAATCTTGATTTCTATTGCATCTAGAGACGAGGTAGCGTCTCGACGTCAAGTACATGAAAAATTATACGCCACCGTGTGTACTGGCGCTGGCGCTACCACGTATCTTTTACTCGTAAAACTGCGATTCCAACCTAACCCGAAACTGCTGTCATTAATATCTTGTCACGCCTGCTGTATTTTCTAAATCCAAAGGCATTTTTCTAATGTAAATCGCATATAAGCTTTCTAATAAAACCAAAATCAATAAAATCGGTCTATGTATAACTGAGATATCGTAATATCATGTCATGAATCTGTCAGAAATTGTAGATTTATCTTCTGATTCTGATTCTTATTCTTTTCGTCAACACTTAGCCAATAGGAGCTAGGGCCGTTCATTGATTCGTCGACTCTCGGAATCAGTCGGCAAGGCTTGTCGGTCGGAATTGTAATATGGCTGTCACTCATGCCGCTCGTTCATTTCTAACCTGTAACTGTCAGTTTGGATTTGTGACATTTAGTTTCTTGGAACAAGACTTTCTGACATGCATTATGCGTACTTTTGAAAACTTAAAGGACTGAAACTGATATTGAAATACAATAAATTGTGCGTTACCAATAGTGGATCTCTGTACATTTTCCCACTTTATTTATTAACGTTTAAATTTATTACAACAAGATTTTCTGCCACGCGTTGTGCATACTTGTGAATTTTATTCTAATACAATAAATTGTGCGTTACACATAGTGGATCTCTTTCTTTATTTCTCATTTCATGTTTAAAATTTCCATTTCTAGCAACAAGACATTTTGCGATGCGTTCTGTATACTTTTGAAAACTGAAAGGACTGAAGCTGGTATTATAATATAATAAATTGTGCGTTAGAAATAGTGTAGACCTCTTTTTTCATTTCATACTTCATTTTTAACATGTAAGTTTGTTACAACAAGACTTTCTGCCTTGCATTCTGTGTGCTTTTGAAAACTTAAAGGACTGAATCTGGTATTGTAATATAATAAATTGTGCGTTAGAAAATGTGGACCTCTTTTTCCATTTCATACTTCATTTTTAACATTTAAGTTTGTTACAACAAGACTTTCTGCCATGCGTTCTGTGTGCTGTTGAAAACTTAAGGGACTGAATCTGGTATTGTAATATCATAAATTGTGCGTTATTCATATGACATTAATTTTATTTGTAAATAACACATACAAACCTTATTTTACTTGCTAACTAATGTAGAGCTTAAAATAAAAATGCATTTGTCTTTTATTATAGTAAGCGTAGAGTCTACAATATACATAATGTGTCTGAAGCCAGATATAGGAAAGAGATCAGCTTCAGTTCTTTAAGTTTCCAAAAGTATACAGAACGCATGGCAAGATGTCTCACTGCAAGAAATTTAAATGTTAAAGGTGAAGCGAGAAATGAAAAAAAGAAATGATCTATTTGTAACGCACAATTTATTGTATTAGAATACAGTTCATATACGTTCACAGAACACATGGCAGAAAGTCTTATAACAAATTTAAATAATGAGAATATGAGAGAATGAACAGAGATCCACTATTTGTAATAGATAATTTATTGTATTACAATAATATAGAAAAAGAAAGGTCAGACTTAGTCCTTTAAGTTCTCAAAAGTATGCACGACACATGACAGAAAGTCATGTTGCATTTAAATGTTACTGATAAACTAATTACATTTTTTCTTTAATAAATTGCTTGCAATGAGACTTACTGCAATGCGTTCCACGTACTTTTGAAACCTTAATGGATTCAAACTGATCTCCCATTTTCTATTATTTGAAATCATTCACTATACAAATTATCTTTGTAAAAAGAAGTGAGATCCCCATAAAAAACTTCAAAAAAGTAAAAAAATTACGCCAAGTACATGAAAAAGTGGAGGACTCAAGGAGTCAAGGAGGACTCAGTGAATTGATCTGAGTTGTGGTTGTGAACCACTGACGTAACTTAATGCTTGATACCGGTATTATATTAACATGAAAAAGTGGAGGACTTAAGGAGTTATCATTAAAAAATAAAAGATCCTCATAAAAAACTACAAGAAAGTAGAAAAAGATGTGAAATCAAAATGAGCAGCCAGTACATGAAAGTCCTTTCCAATAAAGTGCAAAAGCGACACTGTGTAACACAATGTAAAATTCGGTGATTTCTATATATGTGCAGCTAAAATGCTGTGTTCAACAGTGCGGACGTTCAGATCCTAATGACAATTCATGTAAAGTGACTGCTCTACACTTTAGCGGTGACATGAAGAAGTTAAATAGCGTATCATCCACAAACTGAGGTTGTTTAAAAATTTGCCTTGATGACCGCGGCCTGGAAGTCAAATGCTAGGGGTGGCCAGGCAAGGTCAAGGTTTTGATGAATAAGAATTATTTTAAAACGCAAAATAATGAAAGTGTACTCATGATATTGTCAGAATTTTAAATTGAAAAATTATGTAAAAGCCTGCGAGAGAGAAAGTATTGGTCTTGATGATCTGAGAATGGCTTAGTTGGCCACGTCAAGCATTTCACTTCCAGGCCGCGGACATCAAGGCAAATTTTTAAACAGCCTCAGTTTGTGGATGATACGCTATTTAACTTCTTCATGTCACCGCTAAAGTGTGGAGCACTGTTGAATACAGCATTTTAGCTGCACATAGTTGGAAATCACCGAATTTTACATTGTGTTACGCAGTGTCGCCTTTGCACTTTATTGGAAAGGACTTTCATGTACTGGCTGCTCATTTTGATTTCACATCTTTTTCTACTTTCTTGTAGTTTTTTATGGGGATCTTTTATTTTTCTATGATAACTCCTTGAATCCTCCACTTTTTCATGTACTTGGCGTAATTTTTTTACTTTTTTGAAGTTTTTTATGGGTTACTTTTCCGCTGAATATTTTCTAATTTTATTAGCGAAAAGGTTTGCATTCGATGACCCGTAGTAAGAGCGAGTAAGATGATAAGTTTTAACGACAAGTCTCTCAAGTTCATTTTCTCATTTGGCAGCAACGTAACTAAATAATCTAAGACCATCTTCGGATCTCAAGTAGAACTATACTTAGGCCTCGACGGCCTTAATCTACTCATCGCCTTGAAAAATCTTTTTAACCTAAAATCCTGAGCTAGCTCTGGACCTACGAGCAACGAAATAGCGAATTTATAAGAATTCAAAGTGCCTTGAGAACCTCCCTTTCAAATGCTTCTGTCAGAAAAGTTAAAACATCTGGAACAGAATTTAAGTACGGGCTGATTTTTCTCGTTTGGCAAAAAGACCACCATTTCCTCAAAGCGGAATCATATTGTTTCCATGATGAGTCGCTGAGCGATGCCAACAATATTTTCATTGAATCTTTTGGAACCTCCTTCCTCTCGATGCTCATCCGGACAAGACTCCTGCAACCAGGGTAAGGTTCTTCCAAAATTTTGACGCGTTCCTGTTGGAGTAAACAATTATACTCGAATTAGGTCTAAATTTTAACGATTCTGAGATTAACAGGGACTGAAAAATAGGGAACCACGGTTGAGAAGGCCACTCAGGTACCACAACAATACCCCTTGATCTCTCATTCTTAATTTTTTGTAAGACTCGCAGAATGATCGAGAATGGTGGAAAGGCGTAAAAGAAAAAGGGTTTCCAAAAGAGAGTAAACGCATCCACAGCAAATGCGTCCGGGTCCCTATGCCAGGATACATAAATCGCACATTTGGCATTTACTCGGCTCGCAAATAGATCGATGTCTGGTCTACCATACAATGCGCTTAATTTCTCGAAGGCTCCACGCAACAGCTCGAACTCGGTGTTAGACTCTAATTTTCGCGATTCTGTATCAGCTTCATAATTCATTTCTTGGTATAAACCATACCGTACTTTACCGCTGGACAGTACGAAACTAAAGTGCCCACAAGTTTAGCGAAATCTCTAATTTTATATTTTTGATTTACTCTGAACTTTTTGATTTCGCTTCTGAGCCGAATTTTTGTTTCCGTCGGTAATTCAACTGTCATCTTAACGGAATCATAGACAAAATCGAGAAATCGACAAGTTTTCTTCGGTGTCATCTGACTTTTCTTTTTATTTATAACAAAACCTAAAGATTCGAGAAACAAACTAGATTTCGTTACATTAATTGAACATTGCTCAAGTGAGTCTCTTATTAAAAGAATGCCATCAATGTAAATGACCGAAATTAAACCCAACTGGCGTAAGTAAGCTACTACGGGTTTTAACAATTTAGTAAACACACAAGGCGCAGTTGATAAGCCAAACACGTGAACTCGTAATACTGCTTATCGAAAATAAATCTCAAATACTTCCTATGAGATACGTGGATCGGAATTGTATAATAGGCGTCCTTAAGATCGAGAGTTGCCAAGAAAAAAATCAAGACTTAATAACTTTGAGGCCGTTCGTCCATCTTCGAATTTAAAATGAATGGTTTCAACAAACTGATTCAGAGCCTTCAAGTTTAGAACAAACCTACTGGATCCATCCGGTTTAGGGACTAGAAAATAACTTGAGACAAATTGACTCTTACTCGACTGACACGGCTGAACTGCGCCTTTAACTATTAACTCGTCAACTAATTGACTAATTTTAAACCTTTCATTAATTGTGAAATTCCGAGCACTCGGAGGCACGGTCTGTTTAACTTTTGAGCAAAAAGGGATCTTATAACCCATCAGCCAAGACAAAACTTTTTTGTCAGAGGTCATATTTTGCCATTTGTCTTTGAAGAGACCGAGTCTACCGGCTATAAAGCTTACACCAACCTCTAACGTTTTTTCAAATGATCCCGATCTCAGTTCCGATCGCGATCGCGTCTCTGGTAGCGAGGTTTCTGAACAAACTGCGGCTGCTTCTTTTGTAGCAAGTGATACCTTGGCTTCTGCCCGCCCGACGCCGCTGGATAATTCCTGGTCTGAGGTTGACGGGGCGGGAATTTCAAGTTCTTTGTTTGTTTCAAAGGTTGCGATCTTTGAGCGACCTTGAGCTCCCTGCAGGAACTTTCCAACGTCTTTGCATTCTTCAACACCTCTTCCAAATTGCTTCCAAACAAAAATTCTCCGCAGCCAGATGCGTTGACGGCATCTCGAAGAGAAGCGTTGATATTGGCTAATATCAGGCTTCGACGAGCAAAAGACTCATCGTGCTGCAGATCCGCCAATAGCTGGATCAAACCGAACAAATATTTAACTAAAGACAGCATTTCAGGATTCTCCTTCCCCTTCACAACAATAGACATTGCCTGCATTGCAAGCGCCAAGGAAGCAGTAATCTTTTCCTGTTTTTTCCGAATGCGGTCATTCCTCTTGGCAACTAACTCCTGGACAACAGATTTGAACTCAGGATTTAGTTTAAGACGATCAATGGACGTACAGTTACTAGGAGGTGGATATTTCTTCAAGACCTCTACTTTAATTTCCTCCGACAGACCCTCTTTAATAACGTCTTCGCAGCGTACCACCAGATCTTTAAGAACTGGGGGACCGAAGACTCTTTCTTCGCAAATACGCTTGCCAAAAATGTCTAAAATATCAGAACGTAACGCAGCTTCTGTGTTCAATACCGCTGGCTCACCAGAATCTACCAGTGGCACGTCATCGACAGGGATGTTCCGTAGATTTGTCAACTGACTCGTGGAATCCAGCAAAACCCGATGTATCTGACCTGCATGCCTGTCATCTGCCGGGTTGTCTTCTTGTTCACTCCTATCTGGAGGAATCGAAGAAACAGACCGATCCGAACCAAAAGATCTCGCTCTGGAATATCTGAAACGGTCACGATCTGGAAACCCAGACCGACAATAATAGGTTAGTCCTAAACATTGTCTCATATTTCTCATATTCAAAATATAACTTTCATAACAGGTTAGAGCCTGATGAAAAAACTCGCAAAATTCTTCGGAATCGAAGAAAAAAATTCATCTCACGAGAATACATAAAAGTGAGGAAACACAGCAAAGGTTTGACACTCATAGGTTAGTGCCTACGAGTGAAAAAACTTGACATTTTTCAGGTTAGAGCCTGTTGTCAAACATTTTGCGAGATATCGAGCCAATCGACACGTTCTTCTTTTTTTTCCCCGTCTTTTTTTTACATTTAGGTTAGAGCCATAAATGAGAAAAAAGAAAACGGTTTAAAACCGTTTGAGTCTTCGAGAGACCTGAAAAACTATCTACGGCAAGGACAGCAAACTAGAACAAAAATCAGACAAACAATCTAACAATCTTACATCCGCTCGACCACGACTCATCAGTAACCGCGTCACTCGATCTATTCCTGCGACGATGACTTTTCCTCTTCTTTTTCCTCCTCAGCTTTCTATTTTCCTTTTCCAACTTCTCAAGACATCTCTCGAGATCCTTCCTTTGGTTTTCCACATCGGAATAATCTCCTGTATGCTCTTTGCGAAACATTTACACAGATTAGAAGAGAAATTCTCTCATTAACAACGTGGCTAATCGGCACAAAGCGAAAGAATGAGAATTGAAGCGAAGAATGTTGAATAATGATTTATGTTGTATTTTGACAAAAGTTTTTGCACATTTGCGTTGTAAATTTCCTTACCTTTGTCGGTTTGCAAATTTTTCGGATACCTTCCACTGTTTCGGATTATTTTTGCGATCGCTGTAGAAACTTCATTTCCACTCTTGGTTTTGAGGGGTATAGCCCATGCATGTTTACTCAGCACACCGATAACAATGAGTACGTAATGGAAGTACCCATGTACTATGACGCGTCTTCGGGAAAAATTTCTTCTCGCCGGAGCATGCAATTCTTCCACGAGACACCGTTTCTCGGTACTGGGAGTTTTCTTCGTAGCCATGTATGACTCGACACTGACGCAAAGACTTGACGTACACGTTTTATCAAACATCAAATCGGTGCTCAACGCAACGGTTGGTCGTTCGATCGGTCGGTTGGTTGACCGGTCGGTTGACCGGTCTGTCGGTCGGTAAATAGTCTCAACGTCCAGCTATTGATGCGTCTGCATTAGATTTTGGAATTCGGTAATATCCCTCTCTAATTTATTCAGCTCATCTTCCAAGCTCTGAACGAAATTTTGAAACATAATCATCTTTCTATCGAATACGTCTTGTCGACTTTTTATAACTGCCATCTTTTCGTGCTAGTACAGCTTGTTGATAGCATCGCCATTTTCTACAGGCGGTGCTACCCTTCGAATCCTGCTCGACTTTGCGTCATAATTGGTGCCAACATAATTTCTGACTACTCCATTCCAGTGATAGTATGATTCCATTCTTCCAATCGATGACCCAAACTTGTTGATTGATATTTTAATGACGATTGACTGTATCGCCAAGGTGCAGCTTAATTTATAATGAATTCTGCCTCGCGAAGTTCCTCGATAATCGATAGCATCTTATTGTCGTGAGCATTGTGACCGGCTTGACGCGAAGCCTCGAGCAATCGAAGCCGATCTACGAGTTCGTTGGGATCGTTCCAGTGAACGTAATCAATGTTGTTGTTGGTGGTTAATCTCATGGAACACAATATGTCTTTTCCAACTTTTTTATCTTGCAATAAAGGTTTGATTACATGGTTATACTTTTATCCTCTGTTGCCTAATGTTTGACCATACGAATTGTGCTTATGCTTATGCGCACTCGTTATCAGCAGTACGTCCTTGTATTTGCGTTCATCAGCCTCAGTGTAAATGTCGTTATCTGGTGTTTTCTTGAATATCAGTTCATAAAAGCCGGGTGTCCCCGAATATCGTATGCCATCGATAATTATGTTATCCGCATTGTCCATGTCAACGTGTTTATTACCGATCATTAGTCCATCATTGGTGAGATAAACACCGTACACGTAATCCATACCAACGTCTACGTCGCCGCGTAATACAGGTGCGATGTATTTTTGACTCAGTGGACCTAGATGATTACGTACTGTTTCTTCGTCTTCCGGCCTTTACAATTGGCTTCGAACAGATGTCGAGAAATAGCTGTTTGGACTTTCAAAAACATCTTCGTTTGCTAAGCGTTTTGTTGTTGTTGTTGTTGTTGGTACTGTCTTAATCGGTGTAGAGTACGGTGTAGAGACTATCAGGTTCATATCGGGTAAACTGCTTAACTCCAGTATTCGTTTGAACATGTCGCTGACGTTAACGCTCACCGGCCAAGGTAGCATTCTCGCAGTAAACTATTTTCCGGCCATCGATCTGAGCGATGGTGATTACAAGCTCGGTCTTACGGAGTTTGAGACATATTACACGATACCGAATGTAAATTTGTCGAATAATAAATTTTACTACGATAACGATGATAAGGAAATCATTATTCCCGAAGGATCTTACGAGCTGGATGACATTCACCTGTATTTGCGGCGATCGCTTTCGCAGGGTAATGAGGGGAACCCCTTGATACTTAGAGCTAACAACAATACGATGAAGAGCGAAATCAAGTGGGATTACAGCATTAATTTGACCAAACCCAATACTATTGGCTCGTTGCTGGGGTTTTCGACGAATCGGTTGCTGCAATCGCGAAAATGGCACGAATCGGATGCGTCAACCAATATAATGAACGTAAATATTATTCGCATTGAATGCAGCGTGACGGCTGGTGTTTACAGCAATAACAAGAGCGCACGATACACGAGTATTCGCCTACCGTTCCACCTGGATATAAGATATCGGAAAGACCGACACAGATCATTTACCTTCCGATCACCGCACGAAGCATTTCGGATTTGATGATTCGCGTCGTGGATCAAGACGGTCAATCGTTAGATTTTCGAGGGGAGCAGATTACCGTTTGACTGGATGTACGGAGACAACAATCGTAGTGGGAGATGCTTGTATTGAACGAAACAGAGCAGATGACACGTGAAAACAAAGAGAAAACAATTCGATCGCCTGCGAAACTCGCTGTATCGAATATTAGCTGTCTAGAACCATTGGGCGAGAAGATAATTCGATCACCTGCGAAGCTAACTGCATCGAATGTTGAATTTCTGAAATCGTTGGGTTTCGTTGTACGAAATGGCTAATATCTTAAACATTGGAGGCGAACCGATCTTTGACGACAGCATCGGCAAGATTGAGACTCACACATACAACCCATACGCCAACACAACGTTTAAACACAACAATGAGATACGAATACCTATACAACAGCAGGATTTATACACGTTACCATGCGAGAGCTTTCTATACGTTGAAGGAAGATTCAAAGTAAAGATACCAAAGAAAGGGGTAGAAGCACACCTCGGAAACAATTGTGTCGCCTTTATGTTTGATGAAATTCGATATGAACTCAATGGTGTGGAGATTGATCGCAACAGAAACGTTGGAATAAGAAGCACCATCAAAAATTTTGTGTCCCTAACATTTGACAAATCGCTAATTTTACGGAATGCTGGATGGATCACACAGTCAAACATACCGATAGGTTACTTTAACTTTGGTGTACCGCTCAACATGCTGTTGGGTTTTTGCGAAGATTACAGGCGTATAGTAATCAACGCTCGTCACGAACTCATACTTATACGCGCGCGCAGTGATAATAATTGCATCATTGGAGATTCCACGCTGAAACCGGTAGCCGAATTATTAAAGATACAATGGCGAATGCCTCACGTCGTACTGAATGATACGAATAAACTATCGTTGTTGCGAATTTTGGAAAGCGGGCAATACCTAAGCATGAGTTTTCGTTCGTGGGACCTGTACGAGTACCCTTTGTTGCAAAGTACAACAAAACATTCGTGGGCCGTTAAAACTGCGACTCAGTTGGAGAAACCGCGATACGTCATTATTGCACTGCAGACTGGTCGAAAGAATATCATGTCTGAAGATGCGAGCAACTTCGATGCATGTAAATTGACCAATGTGAAACTTTATCTAAACTCTGACTTTTATCCATACGATGACTTGAATCTTGATTTTGATAGAAACAGATATGCTATTCTTTTTGATATACAGGGTGTCCCAAAAGTCGGGGAGGAGCCGGAAATGTGGGGT